TTTTTTTTTCAGATTGCTAGAACATTTGAAACTATGCAGTCCTTCTATATGTTCTTTTTTTAGTTACAGTCATACCTGGCATATGCATTTTGTTGATAGATACCATGCCTTAGTCTTCCTTTTCCTGTTATTTCTGCTTATAATTTTTTTTTTTTGGAACAGAATTTTTTATCAGATGCATTTGCATTGCCACTGTTATAGCGAAAAGCACATCACTGTAATGATTCTTTTTTTTCTCGTTGTTTTTAGAAATTTCAGGTTATCAAAAATCATTACTTTCAGAAACTAAACTATATTCTCCACTCTCCCATTATCTCTTTATTCCAATTCATAACTTTTTTTTTGGTGCAGGAATTTCATATTCTTGAAATCATTTGGTATATGTATTTATGGAATGCCTTACTTATTAGAAAATCTTCAGTTGACAGTGGCACTCAACAATTCAAAATACCAAGAAAGACTCTTTTCACTTTCAGTGGCTAGGTATACCGCATATAACACAAATAGATTTAATGCTCCAGCCTCATCATCTAAAAGACCCCCTAACAGCTACCAATAGGAGACCACTCTGATTTGATTTTAAGGTCCCTCATACACTTCGAAAATAGTTTGCCAGTATAATCACATCCATGTAAAAAGCTGTGTTTCAGCATTAGTATATTTGGAATAACTCTAATGTCCCATCCTAGACTTCTCTCCTTGATGATTAAACTGGTCTAGGTCTTTTTCCTGATATCTTTCCGTGGCTTTTCTCCCTGTTTGCCTGCACAGTGCAATACACTCGAATAAAATTAAATGAAGTTCAGAAACTGAGTTAAAACAGCTAGCATCTATTCCATTCCACTAGTGTTAAAAAACGTGGGTTTTTTATTTTTTTTTCCTTTTTTTTTCTCTCATCTTTTTGCTTTGGATATTTTTTGGGAAAAATGAGGGATTTTTTTTTTTTCTTGCAGTAGCCTTCGGTATCAGCTCTGTATTCGGTAAGCCAAAGCTGTTACACGGATTCTTTTCTTTTCCTCATAAGACAGCATAGTTCTCCAACAGTCCTGGTCAATGAGGCTGTAGAATGTGGGATAAGAGATAAGATACAGTTTGTGAATTCATTTTTTTGTGAAGCCATTTCTGGACAACAAGTACTATCAGAAAAAGAATTATGCTTCTGACTTCGGACTTCAGAATGAGAAAGGTTATGTCCCTGGAAAAAAAAAAAAAAAGGAAAAAAAAATCTGTGCATAACCCGCCCAAGAGCTGTAGTGGCAAAACATTAGCTTTATATTAAGCTGTATCATTTTTCATTATCTTCTAGGAACTTCCAGCCTGAGGAGTTAACTGAATTGATAAAAGCTGCACCTGCAAGACAAGGTATTTTCCTATAGGAAACATCCTCGGGGAAAAGACAGTGCCCCACAGTTACATAGGTTTAGCAGTGTAAAGTGGACTGGTAACAAAGTCAATCTCTGAGACTGCTCAGTTGCACTGGAGCTGCTAATGAAGCCTTTTCTCTGTTCCCTGCCTTTGACCCAGGCTCCTAACTAGACAGGTTTATTTCTGTGGGACAATCCAGGGCCTTGGCTAATCACTAGCACTTCCATTGTTGTTAAAGTGGGTGGACAATCTTAAGAACTTCCCATCTAGTTCAACAGCAGTTTGTTTAGATTACCAAGAAATTTTTAACCTGAAATTGAAAACCTGATTTCTGTGTCCCTGTAGCCTGATCTCTAGTCTCAGTTCCTCCACCATCATTTCTAAAGTTTCACTTTCCCTTCTTTTTAAGAACTTCAGCTTCCTTTATAGAAAGCTACTAATGTTCTCCTAACTCCCTCCTGCCCTCATTGTTTTTTTTTTCCAGCCCTCTGCAGCTGCTCCCTAACTACCTCTTTAAGAAGTACATCCGAAGTAATTGACCTGCAGTTATGAGCTGATTTTTCATTTCTCAGGCTATTATCGAGCAGTAGTTTTTCAGGTCGTATCTGTTCCCTTTACTCAGGGGAGGTCTAGCCCGTTTTCGTTCTGCTTATCAGATCTTGGTGAACCTGTTGAAACTGAGTGTCTGCCACCTAGATCAATTGTCACTTTTGTCTGAGACTGACCAACAGACTCAAAGGGATTAACAGATAGTGTTTGTCTGAATAAGATATTTTTGTTTTAAGCAAAAGAGCTGTCTGTTTTCTCTTCCATAATTTACTCCTAGACCAGAAGGTGTTGATTTTACCATTATACTGTCCCATGTCATCCTATATTTTCTCTTTCAGGGTACATAAGACAATCAACAGCCTTTTTTTTTTTTTTTTTCCCTGCCATTGAGGCAAAATCGGGAAGCCCAGGCCACTCTGTGTTGGGGTTATGCCAAGGCCCGGACTTTCATAGGTGTTTGTGAGAATAACTGCCACTGCCAAGACAGATG